TGGTGACAACTGACCTTTATCTTAAAATGTTGTGTTGAATTCCTCCTCTTAGGAGAAGACTAATTTTAGTTGTATCTTACTTTTTATTCTGTCCAACAAAACCTGGCACAGAATACCGAGCTAATGATACATTATATTCAGTGAACATTTAATTTAACATTTAGATTATACAGCCATAGTCTTTGACTTAATTTTCCTCTCTGTAACATCCCAAACCCCCCCTCACACACACACACACACATCTCCTACTTTTGCAGCAGAACGAAAATGTGGTGTGTCTTCATACTTTCTATGGCAGGCTGCTTGTTTCTCAGCAGGCCAGGCTGCACCACTGCATGCCCATGGTACCAAGCCTGAATTATCACATCGTTAATGAACTACTGTGTTTTCATGTTTTGCAGTTAAACACAAACATCTAAACTACAAACTAAACCTCAACTGTATAGTATCTTTTCTTTTTCTTTCTTTCCTATTTGTTTGTTTGGTTTTCTTTTTACAATTACTGTTGCCAAAGACTCTGGCTTTCTTTTTGTTCCCTTGGGTATCTTTCTTTTCTATACAGTATAGAACAAGAAGGTATATCTTTCAAGGCAATGGAACCTGGAAATCTCCTCCACTGCTGATGTAAACTCAGTAAAAGTTGTAAGAGATAGAAATGGGCAAGGGGAAGTCCAACACTGCAGACAGTTCATATATCCCTTAGTGTTGAAGGTGTCTGGCTGCACAGTGCCTTCCAGAGTCTGACAATGCTTGGGTGTCATTCATCCCCTGGCTTAGCAGATGACAGTATTACCTCTAAGCCCTGTGTCCGTATTTTCCCATGGGAGCAATGCTGAAAGGAAAAGGGCAAAGTGTCGTCCAGTGTATTCAGGTTACACTCAGTTTTCCAGAATCTACATCACTTATTTATACTGCCATCTTTTACACCAAAACTAATCTAATGAACACACACACACACACCCCAGAACTAATCTAATGAACACACACACCCCAGAACTAATCTAATGAACACACACACACAAAATACAGAGATAATGTAAGTTTAGTTGTCTCATTTATACATTGAAGAAAAAAATCTTAGGTTTTACTGATAAGGAGATCAGGAAATCAAATATGACTGTCTTAGTTCCTTTTCTAGGGAAGACTATTTCTCCCTCTCTGCGTTCCTTAGCGGTCTGTTCTTCTGTGTGTAGGGTTAAAGCCTCATAAGCATACCCTCTTCCAAGTTAGCGTGTTTATTCGTGTTGTCCTTCTTGAGCCCAAGCTTAGACAATCATGGTGGCGAAAATTTATGGATGTAGCTTCTGACATTTCTAGAAGACAGACTCTCTGTTCCCCTGGCTCTTAGAATATTTTCACTCTCTCTTACACAATGATCCCTGAGCCTTAGATGCAAGAATTATGTTATATATGGGTAAGTTGGCACTATGTTCCACAACTCTGTGATTTGTGTTTTATATATCTTTCGTTCCTTTTTTCCATGCTATCCATGTTTCTCTCTAGAGATGTGCTTTGATTATATTTTTATGTTTCTGGTATCTATTATATATTTTGACTTTGTAGTTTAAAAGAGTTCTGTAGTTAAAATAAGCTATTTTGAGCTGATAATAATTTTGATCTCATAAAAATGTTGACTCTACTTTCCATATTTTATGCTTCTGGTGTCATAATTTATATATTCTTTACATTTTTAATCGAGTGAAAAATTGAAGCTATCTTTTTAACATTCATACTAAATACATAATCCATGTATGTTCAATGTTTATACAATATGAGTACTCAGAATTTAAATGTATATATTTTACCAATGTGTTTTATTCTTTCATCTGTTTTCATGTTAATAAATTACTGAGAAACGTGTTTCTCTTTAAGCTTGAAGAGAAAATGAAGTGAAAGCTTGAAATGAAATTCTCTTCATCGTGTATTTAATTTTTAAAGAGAGTTTTGAGGGTGAGTAACTCTAAGAGTTGCTTGTCCATAAACATCTCATCTGTTTGTCATTTTTGAACTGCCATGCCTTATGATGTGTATGGTGTACATACTCTTGTGCTGTCTGAATAAATCACCCTCTGTCTCCAGGATTGGGAACATTCTTCCAAGAGGTCTACCACTGAGCTGAACAGTTGTCCCTTATATGTGAAATGCTTTTCCTTGATGCTTTCATAAGCTCGTTTTATCATTCACTTTAGACCATTTGATTACAATATATGGTGGTGCAATCTTGTCGGGACTGGGACTATATAGCTTGCCCCTTCTATAGCTAGGCATTTAAAGCCATCCATAGACTTGAGAAATGTTCATCTATTATCAATGTAAATGATCTTTTTGTCCACTGTAGATATCTTCTCTTACTCCTAACATTAAAACGTCTGTTCTTTTTTCTTCCCTGTGAATCATCTGTGCTTTATCAACCACTTACATGATCTCCACACTCCCCTTTATTTGTGGATAATACATATTCTTCTACTATTATAAATGTTGGTGCTGACTTTTTTTATTTTGTTAATTTTATTGGCAACTAAAAATATCTCTTTACATTTATTTTAATAATTTCAACTTGTCAATTGTCACATCTTAATTTATTAAATTCTATATTTTCTTAAAAATCTCTGAGTTTCCATAAATAATAATTTAAGATTATTTGTCAACCACTTAATCAGTTTTGGCCGCAGATGCTGAAGGATTTTTATGTCTGTGGTAATGTGTCTCTTGGATTTTGTTACAATTCTTTTTATTGTATATTGATGTCTGTGTGTTCCACAGAGCAATTGTTTCCAGTAGCTTTTACAAACTAATCTTGATGTAATTATACTTCCCTATCTTTATCCCAGTGGGGCAAGCAGGCACTAGAGAGACTGCAGCTATGTAGTCTCTGTGCCCCCACATGAGAGGTCAGTGAGTGACAAGAGTGAAGAAATACTTCAAAGATGCTTAGCTGCTGTGCCTCAGGATGTCTGCTGTGGCAGTGAATGATGTTGAGTGTGGTAATCAGAGGAAAACAAAACCAATCAGTTTTTTTTCCTCTGACCAGGTAGAGAAATTATGGTTGAGACTGTCCCTTTTGGCACTGGATTTGTCTTTCTGGCCACTTCTCAGTGTTTGCAGCATCAGACTGATGGAGAGCCACCTGATGCCTGAGCACAAAGACCTGTGGGTGGACTGTACCTTTGGTGTCGGGGCTAGGTTTGACCATCTTTTGGGAATAGCATACAGTTGCCCTGGTAACAGTAAAAACATAGTGGTGCTGTGAATGGGAACCTAAATCTGTCAGCTAGAGACCTGATCATAGGCACTCTGAAAAGTGGAGGCTTTGCGGTCTGAAAGACCAACTCAAGCTGTTACACTTTGGCAGTGGCCTTTTGTGACATGTAGAAATATATATTGCAGCCATAGGACCCAGGTAGGAATACAGCAGGTCTGTATTTGGGAAAGACAGTAACTATAGTGGCTGCATTCTTGAAGCCTCATGGTGTCCAGGCACATCTAAGAGAAGCAGGGGGTCTCCTCACATGATTATTTTTGAAGTATTCATTTATTTTCACTGGTCTGTATCTATATAATTAAGATTGTAGGGCTACTGTTTTGAAGACTAAACCCCTCTGATTCTGTAAACAGTTTCTTCCATTTACGTATCATCCTTTCATGCTCTATTGATTAACGTTTCCAACACATACTTTCTCCCCTAACCTCAATTGCACTACTTTCTTTAATGAACTTCAGCAAAGCTGCATAAGAAGAAGTCCCCAGTTAAGATCTGTAGACTTGGAGTTCTAATTAGTGTACCTTTGTGGGTCTGTCTTGCCTGTAAAATGGTGATAAGCATTCAGCTTCCTCTTAGGACTTCTGACTTACTTCTTAATTAATAGAGAGATAATGAAGCAAGCCTATGCTTCTGCACTGATACCTCTATTCTCTTGAGTTTGCCATTGCAACTCTTCGGCTTTCATTCTTGCTTATGTACAGCCTACAAGGCCACATATGTACTCCTGCCCATGTCTGTAGTTCTATAAAATCTAGTTGTACTCTCTGACTTGTGTAGATTCATAATTAGATATCTAGTTACCTAATATCTTCAGTCTACTTTTTTTACTTCCCTACATGTTCCTAAACTTCTACCCAGAAGAATTATTCTATGATACTTGGCAGGAATGTTATGCATTGAAATTCATAGACACAATATTGAATTTGACATCACGCTGTTAAGTGCAAAACTGTTACTGAGCTATTGAGATGTTTGCTATTAAGTAATTACAGGTAAATAAGTAATAGCAGGTAATATTCCTAGTAATTTAGAATTTTAACTCTTTAGGCATTTGTATGTACCTAACAAGATAATTTGGAAATGGGATACAGTTCTTACCATGTAATTGCTGTATGTGTTATATATACAGCCTATAAATAATTTCACATAGCATATCCATCTACCCCTACTGTGACTATAGTAGATCATATGAGGTTACTAATGGAAATTTCTTTTCTTTTTTTTTTTTTTTTTTTTTGGTTTGGTTTTTCGAGACAAGGTTTCTCTGTGTAGCGCTGGCTGTCCTGGAACTCACTCTGTAGACCAGGCTAGCCTCAAACTCTTGAACTCAGAAATCCGCCTGCCTCTGCCTCCCAAGTGCTGGGATTAAAGGCATGCGCCACCACCACCCGGAAATTTCAATTTAGACTATTATGTTCTGAAAATATAATTGAATTTAAGACATTTGGGATACAGTTTGAGGAATAATAATGTGTTGAACAATGGCATAAAATGATTTGAAGCCATAAAAGCCATCAAGAAAAAATATTCATCATGTTTTTAGAGTCTTAAATATTTGTTTCTTTTCTTCCCACTGCACTAATCTGGTTGTCTCTCTATTCCACCAATCAAAGAGGCAGGGAAAGAGATGGCATTAAATAAATCAGAAACTTTTCTTTTGTCCAACAATATAAACCTATATACTCATTCTCTGATCTGAGCCACACAGGGTTTTAAGAATCTTATTGTTTCTTCTTAGGCTCAAGGCAATTATGATGTGACACGCTATGAAAATATTTTCTCCCTGTTTTGGATTCTGGAACAACTTCTTCAGCAGGAAGCCCAGGGAGATCCCACTCCACACATGGATCCCAGCAGCCCAGAAATTCAGACGTTTCTTCAGAAGCATGATGAAACCATCTTCCGACTTTCTGATGCATTCCCTTTATTTACATTTTACTTATGGAGACTGGGAATTCTCTTGAATTCAGCAGAGATGGAAACTGTTAAGAATCAATCCTTGCCTTAGCTGTTTACTGTCTATCAGAAAACTGTGTGCTTCAGTATTTCTCAAAAAAATGCTTTTAAATATTTTAAGTTGATTAACCAACTAATCATTAATTCAATTTAATGATAAGTCTTCTGTATAAGAGATGATAAATCATTGTTCTATATTACAATTAAGCAATTTCAGTTGACAATGCCCCCTACGTTCATATATTATATCTCATTTCACTCAATAGGCTAGCTCTATTCTCTAACTTGGCCTGTCTCATAAAATACAATAAATTGTCAATGATTTCCATCTGATGTAAATTTCATTACAAATTTTACTGAAATAAAGCTTAAACTTTTGTCATTTAACATACTTAAATACAAGGTTTAAGTAAATGGTAAAAAATAAAATTTATTATGTAGCTCTACTCAAGTCATTTTTCTCTTGAAGAATAATGCTATAGAAAAAGAAAAGGCTTTGGAAAGCAGTGGCTTTTAGTTTTACTTAATCAACATGTTTGTAAAGTATTTTTGAAGTGTTAATTAGTTCTTTAAAATGTCCCTTTTTAAAACAATTTTTCTGTTGATATAAAACACTATTGTTCCTATGATTGTTAAAATGTAGTAAAGTTGTGCATTATTAAAGCATCAGGGATGCTTTTATAAATTTTCATATCTTACAATAAACACACTTTATACTTATTAAAAGTACTGGTTGAGTTTTTCATTACACAATTTCCTTTACTTCGTTTCAGTTATTAAAATTGGAACAGACAAGCTTAATGAGCACACATTTTGCACTTTCCTATTGTGCAGTTTACAGGAAATATAATGTAATTCTCTTTCCTTTGTTAATTATGTCTGATTCTGCTTCATAAGGTAATTATCATCTTCAGATGCCATTAGTACTAGAAAAATTATCCTTGCTAATTCTTTCTACAATGTATATAAAATTATACCATCTTCTAGGATTATTTTTGGAGGTTTTGTTTTGTTTGCCCAGCGAATCTCTTCTCTCCTAGAAATGACTGCATAAACAAGACCTGAAGGTGGCCATATCAGTGGACATAATAACATGGAAGAGAGAAAATTTCATGGGGTCACACTCCTAGATAAAGAACTAAAGGTCACTAAAGACTGCTGGGAGAGGGAGAATTAGCCTGCCCCAGGGTGAGCCTCCTTATTTGATACCCAGTGCAGAATGGTCAATCCTGAAACCTTACAAACAAACCAGACTCATCCAGTTGCAGATATATATTTGTGAATACATATAAATACATCTATATATATGTATGTAACTATAACAAAGAAAAAGACGCTATTAGCCTGAGGGGGAAACGTCCTTGAGGGTTGATGTGAAGGTTACTGAGCAAGACTGCTGGGAGCAAAAGGAGGCGATTTGGTTATATTTCAAAGACACATAACTTAGTTAATATCAACCCAGAATATGATGATTTTTTTTTTGCTTAAAAACTCATTCTGAGGAAAGCATAGGGGCTACACTAGCATTCTGAATACTCAGTGTAGTCAGTTGCTGGGTAATAAGCTTTATACTGGAAAAAAATTTAAAAATCTCCATCCTTTACATTTTATAAGGGGGTGGTGCTGCCTTTTTGTCCCACCATTCAGGGAGGACCTTGAGCAGCCCTGGGATGACTGGGATGACTGGATAATGAATGGACCCCTCCTACCATATTCCATTACCAAGAAGGATTTGCCACAGCTGCCTGGGTGTTTTACCTTGAAACTTGATAATCTCTAAGCATTTCACAAGACACTGGGCTAGGGAACTTCTAAGTTCAGCTATGTGGCTTAAATATTCTTTCTTTCTTTCTTTCTTTCTTTACTCACTTCTTTCTTTTTAAGAATAAATGAAGTCTAGTGGAGATTTCCAATTGATGGTATTTATTTAAGTGGTATAGATAAAAATAGACAATATGACTAACATTTCCTGAGGATAAAGCACACTAAGTCTTTAAGCATGCAAAGATCAAGATCAGATATCCGTACATGGATTAGAGTTAATTCCCAAGTCTTAGACATGGAAATAAATAAAACAGTTGAGCATAGATTATGCTGCCTCCAAAATCAAACTATTTTCTTTTCAGTCAGAAGAAAAATATCTCTATTTCATGACTAGGATTCATAGTATGATTCTATTTTCCAAGTATGATGTGTGGATATATGTACGGACGTGTGGATATGTAGATATACATGCATGTGTATGGAAAGACCAGTCAGTGACTGTTGTTCCTCAGGTTCAGTCCTACTTGGTGGTCTCTGGGGTCTTGTTTTGTTGCTTTAGTTTGAGAAAGGGCCTCTCGCTGGCACCTAGAGCTTTCAGATAATGTGTGTGGGGCTGGTCGGCAAGCTCAGGCAAACATCTCCCTAGGCCTTTCCAGTGTGTGGATTGTAAGCATGGGTCATCATGGCTTTTTATAGGTGGTTGAACTCAGGTTGTCATGCTTGTGAATTAAGCACTTCACCAACTGAGCTGTCTCCTCCAGTACCATGTTTGATCTTTCTAAATCATTTTATGAAGTAAGAAAATGCTTTTGTAGCAGTGTCATGGAGGAAAAAAGTGGGTAGAATTAATCTAAAATGTATTAGTGGTATTAGTGATGTGTTCCCCCAAAGCAGCTTTATTTAGGTAGCTCTTGTTCACATGTTTTCCTGTCATCTGGAAAAGGCATGTATGGCCTTTCCTTGCCCTCTGCTTGCCAAAGGCCACTACACGTATTTTCTATTTTGCCATATTGAAATAACAGTAGCATTCAAATGAGAGCACATTGTAGAAGGTACAGATAAAAGACTAAGGAAGTCAAGAGATACAGGGCCATCACTAAGTCCTCTTACAACATAGGATGAGCGATTCACAACTTTCCCATAATAGCATCTATTTTCCAGTTTTAAATTACAAAACACAAAACGTATCTGTTACCATTTCGAGAATATGTTTCTGTTGAATGCATGCCTAAATGATAAGGCAAAATTGTGAATTTAACTACTTATCATTATTATTAAATTCTGGGAGACATTGGGATTTGTGTATTGTCTGGCTTGATGAAAGTCTGTCAGTGGAAAAATATAGTACTTGGATTTAAAAATGAGGATATCACCCTGTCTCTATCATATGAATAAAACGTGATCATTAATAATTTTAAAAGGAGAATCTCACCGTAGAGTTGCCTGTGTTAAGTAACATTTAGAAATTTCTTTGTGAACTCTGAAGTGAAAAGGACACTAGGAGAAGCAAGTGCTCCTGTAATGTTTGATGTGGACCAAGGAGCTGTTCCAAACATCTACCTGTATACCTCCTCAGTCTTCCTGCAATCCCACTCAATATTATGAGGTCAGTTGGTCACACTTTATAGCTGGGGAACAGGGAAGATAAATGGCTTGTCCACAGTCACAGGGAAGGAGACTGTTATATTTTAGTTATTCAAAGTTTATTCTACTCCATGTCATCTACCAGCAGTTAAAATGGACACATCGCTAAGCAATACTGAAATGCAGTTCATATTTGAATTAAATTCTATTTAATGGTGACTATGATGAATATAATAGTTAATAAATTAATTTTTGATTAGCAGTATTTCTGCAGATTCCATAATTTGCAATGTACTTGATATTCATTGAGCTTGCTGCCACAGGTAAACCATCCTTTAGAATTCTAGAGGAAATGAACTCTGAAGACAGGGATCCATCTATCAAACTGTTATTCTATCAATTAGGGTGTTGTAGAACAGATTCCAGACATCATCACACTAGAGAGATGACATATATGCTCTAATTCCATGTTAAGCTTCTGCCTTTGCTTGTGATTACCATTCTGAATCCCTGTTCGATCTGAATTCTAACCTTAGCTTTGGCTGAGAATACAATACAACTCTTAGCTTTCTTTTGGAGACAACATTCTAAGTTTCTGTGAGTTTCCCTCCTCTTTAAGCCATCTTTCAGAATAACAAATGGAGATGCAGCTTTTTCCCAGTTCAAATGTGATCACATGATATGACCTAAGCCTTGGTAAATTTAAATCCTGTACAAGACTAGCAAAGATAGTTGTAGCTTATGAAAATGGGGACACTAGATTTATAAGGTTGTTGAACCCATTGTTAGAGCAGAGTGGGTTTTTTTGTTCCTCTTTACCCTAATCCTCTAATTTTTCAACTGAGTGTATGAACTATTATATTTTCTTTACTGATGACATCTATTTTGTAGCCCCACTAGTGAGAGACACTAGGACCACTAGTGCCCAAACAATATGCCCATTAAACAATTCGGTCCTATTTATACCCCATATAAGACAGCTAGAGCAAACAACTTTTTCCTCTAGTTGTTCCATACTTTCCATGACATGACAGCCACAAAGTGACAACTCTATCAACCGAACTACATCTTCTTTGAACTATAACATTATGAGTCACCTTGAATAAACACTGTGGGCTTATTAAGGCACAAACTACCAGATGCTAACAATCTCTGAGCCTGGTCTGTTTGTCCTTGAGTTACATAGTCCCTTAGTCCCATTCATTTCAATGTCATCACCAATCTGCCCTTCTGTGAGTAGACATCAGATGAACCTCCACTTACCTGTGGGTGTCATGTGGAGCATGTGAGCACAGTCAAGGCAGAAATGTACAGTTGGCTCCATTAATCAACCAATGAGACACTCCTGTCTGTGTGTTTGACCATGCAAAAAGATTTGAATATGAGACACAAGCTTGTAAGAAATATTAGAGAGATATCCAATAACATGTTGGCTTTTTTTGATAAATTGGCCAAATCTAATTTTAAAATGATGTAAGTAGCCTCTTAATTGGCCCTTAAATTATTAACACTCAAGAAGAGTCCATGGAAGCTTATAATTAAGTATCTCTTTCTGGTACATAGTAAGTGATCAATAATTGCAGATAACATTACTGTATTGATTTGTAAGTACACTGTTGATTTCCCTGATCTTATGTGGAAACTGTAGACATTGCAGTTGATGCTGCAGTGGTAGTGTACCCCATCATTCATGGGGTAGAACTTTGAATGAGCTCTACACAGGGAGGTAGCTGAGTAACATCTGAAGAAATTACTGCCATTCTGATGTAGGGAACTCCTATTCCCTACTTCATGCACAAGTGACTGAAGCGGCTGGATGCACAGGTACAGTATTCTCTCTTGTAGCTGTCTTCTTTCTACACCCCGGTTCCTAGGTAGACTTAGCTCAAATTTGAAAAGTGTTTTTTTTTTGAGAAAAATACTAAAAGTGTGAAACCCTTATAAATAAAACACCAGTAAAAAGCACATCAGATTCACTATGGATTAAGCTGAATTTTTGTTTACACGAAAGACATTATTTCGATACATAAAATGTTTTTGTTTGTTTGTTTAACTAAAGCATTCTGCTTTCTGGTTACCCTGTTTACAAATGAATCATTTTGTCTCAACAGAGTGTTGATGGAAACTTCAAATCCTTTTCCTCTCCACATGATCTATTTTTAATAAAGTCACTGAAGAGCAGCTCTGCACCAAGAATCACATAAAGATCAGCGACAGGAGTGTCCTATTTATTTCCCTTCCTTCAGTGTCTGAAAGGGAATGATGTTTTGTGAAGACAGGACTTAGATTCTGGCATTTTTAACACAATGAAAAAAATATAGGTACGGGATTCCCTTGCTATGTATAGGTGATTTTCATTCACCATTGAGTAATAACAATTTGCTTCCGTAAATCCTTTACTATAGGAAACATTTGAGTGTAAAGGAAAAGCATCAACTATCCAATATACCATAATGCTGTTTCAGCACCATACTGACTGCTCCATTATGCTAAAGAGTTGAAGCTACAGAAGACCACACCACTATTTACTGCCAACTCAAAAGAATGAAGAAATTAGTTCCTAAACAGGAAGATGGTCACCTTGTTACCTACAAAATTAAGGATAATGGAATAAAAGATACAATGTAAGTTTGCTTCACTTTCTGTACTTTCTGTTTGCAGAGACTTGTTCAAACTTTGCCTCAATTGAAAGAGAGATAAACCCTTTTCTGCCCATGGGTAATTCCTTTACTAGTACAGAAGATAGTTCATTGCAACGAATTAGAAGTAATTCTACTGTGGCTATATTTTTATCTTCAAGTTGGGGCAAAGGAACCATCACAGTAAATGTGATCAATTATGGCAGAATGATGCCAGAATATATTAATAGTCTGAAAGACTATCTTCAAGCCAAGATGCTACTCAGATGGAATATGAAAAATCCATTAAAATGTCAAAAAGCATATATCCTAGAGGCAATATTTACAAGCATAGGAGACTGCTAAACAGGCAGTCACATAAGGACTAGGCCTGATCCCTCCTGCAAAAAGATACAACATAATTTGACTTCAATTTTGGAAACAAAATTATTGATATCTTAGCAATTGTGCGAATTATTCAGCAAGTAAAGGGAATGGAAAATAATGGAGGACATGGTGATGCAGAGAATACTGAATAATTCAGAGAGTTAAATGTTACCAAGGAAAAGGGCATTATAGTTATGAATATGGAGATTT